GTCATTCTAACACACACACACACACACACACACACACACGCATGCACGCACACACACAAAAGTACAACCACTCCACAACATTTACACAGCCAGTAAAACAACCACTACAACCACCTCTCACACACAATCTCTCTCTCTTTCTGTCCCATTCTCTCTCTCTCTCTCTCTCTCTCTCTCTCTCTCTCAAAAAATCAGGAAGTTTTAAATAAATTATACTCTACGTTTACAGAAAAAAGGTGGGTCTTATGTATGTACACTTTGACAGAGATATAAGAGGTTGCATTTGGGAGGAAGGAGATTCCATCAAAAGGAAGCTGATAGCTCAGTTTCAGTAGCCAGTATCTTGGAAACCTGTCCACGGGAAAACACACAGACTTGACACATGTTGGGGAGGAGGACCAGGGCAAGGTGTACCTGTCTTACCAGTCTTTTCGAGAGCTGATGTTCACCCAGGGCAGCACTGGCCTTTGATTGTCACATTGAAGGTGCTGCCCTCTGGAGACCCCTTGCTCTGTCCTAGCTGCAGTTTGCCACACTGAGACAGAGGGCCCTTCCTAAGAGCATTCCTAAAGATGGTGTATTTTAAGATGAGTCACCACATCCCTGTATGATGGCCCAACATCCCAATGGGACTCCTTAAGATGAGAAGGATATATGTGTCTCAATTCTGAAGGAGAAAGCTATGCTGTTTTGCCAGGGTGGAAATACCTAATAATGTGCTGATAATGACGCTGTGTGAAAGTAACCAGTAAGCCTGGTTTTGGACATTAGCACCGATGGGGTGACATGGAGCACAACTGGAGTGACTGATACATCCCATGGAACCACTATACCGGGACTGCTGACCTATCTTAAGAAGGGTGACTCCATGAAAAGCCAGAAGAGACAGCTTCTGTACTGGTATCACCCTGGGAAAGTCACCGGTGGGAAAACCTGAGGATAGGTGATGATGACCACAGTGTATGGTGGGGAGACTTGGAGACGTCTTAAGAAAGGCCAGGCTGGCAAAATGTCAGCAGGCTGAACGTGGAACCAACTCTGTCTACTAGTGAAACAGAACATGGTTTTCTGTTACAGAGCTAGAGAAAAACATACAACAACATGTTTATGTAGCATGTAATCTCCGTCTGGCTTTTTGGTAATCAGTCACTAATGCATATCTATCCTGAATAATCCATAATGAAGCCGATGCTATGATTGCATGTTCATGATAAAAATAAGCATTTCAGATGTAGTTCTAGAACCTCTCTCCTGTTACAGAATAAGAAAGTCAAATCATCCCTATGACTAGGGTGGATGAACCTGTTGAATACATACTGTGAGAGCCCGGAGTGTCCTTCAGACCTAAGGTGACCCCAGATTCTTAGGAAGCCACGGTGCTGACCTGACTAGAAGAAATACGACATCTCAAACAGCAGAGGGTGCCATGTGCCAGCACACAGGGCACTCGGGGTCACATGCCTGCCAGCTCCACAGGCTGTATCTGCACAATGATTCTTTCCAATTCTTACCAGATCTGAAGGATGTCTAGGATGTTCTGAATTCCACCTTCGGTTTGGCTTTTTCCTGACTATATAGCAGTAAACTTGGAATTTGTTTGGGGATCAGGGGAAAGACATAGGAAATGCAGATTCATGCAAGATGAAGAGTCCTATGGATGGATGGCAGAAGTAACACAACCGGGTGGATGTGCCTCACCACAGTTGAAATGGGTAAGAGGGTAGATTTTATGTTAGGAGGATTTGATTACCATTGAAAACATACTTTAAAAGGGGCCCTGGGAGATGGGTCAGTGGATAAAGTGCCCGCCACGCAAGCTTGAGAACTGGAGTTTGTATCCCCAGCACCCACACATGAAGCCAGGCAGCATGTCAGCTGCCTGGAATCCTAGCACTTGGGAGGCAGAAGTGGTATCTCTGGGCAAGCTGGCTAGCTAGAAGAGCTGGGACTGGTGAGCTCTGGATTAAGCAAGAGCCCCTGCCTCAGTCCGTGAAGTGGACAGTAACAGAGCAAGACATACACATGTATCTGCACACATGAGAACATGCACACACACATATGCATAACACACATACATACAAATGCCAAATTTTTTTTAAAGAAAAGTTTGAAAAACCTGTAACTTGCCAGTAACAGCACAATATGGTTATTTGTTTGCTTCTTCAAAAGACACGTGTGGATATGCACTGGCTATGATGAGGAAGGCTCAGGGAGGGCTTCAGGGACCAGTCTTAATGGTTTCAATCGCTTCTGAGTCTCTCCAGCAAATCAGTCAACCTCTCAAATCCACAAGGTGTGCTGAGTTAAGAAGCGAGGTTGTCAGCTTTTGGAGAGAAATGCGGAGAGAAGAGGTTCTGCTGGGAGAAATCCTTTCCAACTACTTCCTGGCGGCCAGGGCTGTCCATGTGTTATTTCACCTAGTCCCATGCAGTCCTGGGACAGTGCCACTATCCCTATCCCCAAGGCCACCTGCTGTAAAGAGCCTTCGGGACCCAGAATCCTTGCTTTCTCCTTATTTCCAGGATGCCCCAAGACGCTGGAATGTTCCTGGCCATTGGAACCCCATGCCTTGTATGAGAAAGTTGTGAACTCTGCTCATTTACCTTTGGTCCCAGTTCCATCCCCCATGCACAAGGGAGTTATTTTCTTCTGCAGGATAATGGGAACAATGGGCAGCAGTCTCCACCTCATGGTGTGGGGGAAGGGCACACAGAAACAAAGTCTTACACAGGCAGTCTTTGTTCCAGACAAAGGGTCAGCATGGTACCAACGCTGGGACAGGCCCCAGCATCTTCCAGGATGGATGAGTGACAGCTGTGCTGGTGTAGTTCAGCAAGAGGAAGGTGAGCCTTGGTCATTCTTAGGCACCAAACTGCTAATTTGGACAACAGGGGCCACCAGGACAACACCCCTGAGGGCTAGTGATTTTAATTTTTTTATTCTTTATCAGCTTGGATTTTACCACTTCTAGTACACAGGGACCTCAGAACAAAGCTTGTGGCTTCCTTGGAATAATGAGATGCTACTAAGTGCAAGGAGTTCCTGATGTGCCCAGAGTACTACCCATTAAACAGACTGGGAGCCAAGGAGTCTAGTGGCCCTTTGTATATGGCAAAAGGCTCTGAACTGAGGACACTAAGGACATGAGCTGCAGTGCAGGCTCTGACTCTGGCTTCTGACTTCAAAGCAGGGTGTTTTGTCCTGGTGCCTGTCTTTATCAGCACTGACTCAGACACACTGCTCAGACCCTAGGAGCAGGTGGCTGCCTGGCTCTCCTGGGGATTAGGACACTATAAATACAAGCCTTGTCATTGACCTTGCTGCCTTTCAAAGGTGGAGGCAGGCAGAGCAGAGACAGGGCTCCCATGTCTTTGGATTCAGTGAGCCCACCAGTATTGGAGCACACTGAGGCCATCAGAGTGAGCCCATCTGTGTTGGAGGTTAAGCTGTGCCTAAAGTAAAGGTCTCAGTGTTGGAGGGAGACCTGACAGTGCAGATTTTTCCAGTTGCTTCCTTCCTTTTACTTTCTCCTCCTGGATGTATGTATCTCTCTGCAGTCTGAAATTTTGATGCTTTGAGCTAAGACGTGAAAATCCCAAATACCCTTCTCCTCAGGGCTGGGTGGCCTGTGCTGGCCTCTGGGCAGAGAGTGAGGCCCAATGGAAGCATCTAGCTATGGAGTAATTCCCACAAAGACTAGGGGAGGTATCTGGCTACCCTCTCTCTTCTCCAGAGGCTCCAGTGTCTGTCCACTGTAAACTATGCAGGCTGTGGATCCTGTGGTAGCAGCACAAATCAGACTAAGACCCAGCAGTGCCTTAAAACCAGAAAGGTATACAGGAATGGTGAGAGGAATCTGAAGGCCAAGACAGATGGGAGGGATGTGAAGCGTTCTGTGATAATTTGAATGTTCAAGAGCTCTGGTTGCTGCCATTGCCAAGCTGAAAGGACTCCCATGTGACAGCAGACAGTGGGCAAGGCCAGGAGCTGGGGCTCAGCAGTATCCCAAAGGAGGATTCCAGAAGGGGACAGTGTTGGATTGCCAAAAGAATATGGTCACCTGAATCTTACTGGGCTCAGACTTAGCCTAGTAACTATGCCATGTGGCTAATTTAAAACACCTGTGGCTTTAGGGCGCATGAATGAAAACTGTAAGTCAAAGCTTGGCCAGGTCAGACCTGATTGGAGCTTGTGCTTCATGTTCTCAGAGGAGATACAGGGAGAGGAAAAAATAAGTCATGGGCTGATGGGCAAAAAGGCTCCTGCACATTCGACTGACATTGGCATGGTCCCCACAGAGGAGTCTTCTCTGACATCCTGAACAAAATGTCATGTCCTCCTCTCTTTCCTTTCACAAGAGTCCCCTCTTATCCTTACAGAATACATCCCAGGCCTCTCAGCGGACGCCTGAAGCCATGTACAGCAACATACTCTGTGTCCTTATCTTCCTTGTGCTGGAGACCAACAACAGAGTTTCCTTTATGAAGCAGAGCAGCAGGATACTAACAGTAATACCTGATAAATAGAGTGGCTGCAACAGTATACTGTAACAAAATCTCTATGAATTTGATCTCTCAAAATATCTTGCTGTACTGTGCTCACCCTTCTTGTGATGACGTGGGATGATGTGTGTG